CCCCAAAACCCCAAAACCCCAAAACCCCAAAACCCCAGCTTGAGCAGTTATTATTGAATTATTACTTAAATATTTAGGAAATGACCAAAGTTTTTGTGTTAGGCCTCTTAATCTTATCAATAGTGATGGGCCACAATCACCCCATGGTTGGAGTGATAACTTATCCAGGTTCTCCAGGAGAAGTAGACTCTACATCATATATTCAGGCAGAAACTGTCAAATTTGTTGAGAGCACAGGTGCGAGAAATGTTGCTATTAAGTACGACCAAAATTGGATAACCTCTTCTGAAGAACTTGATAATCTGAATGGTATTATCCTTCAAAACTCTTTTAATGGGGCTTATAATAAAGATGAGACTTATGAAAGTGTACTCTTAAATGCATACCTATATGCAGAGGCCAAAGCTGATGACCAGGATATATTCCCTCTGATGGCAAGTGGAGTAGCTGCTTTGCAATTAAGTGAGATTCTTAGTTCTTCTCAAGATTTGTCTCAATATACTATTGAAATTGATGCACTTGATCTTGTAACTGACTTAGAATTTACCAAAGATGCATCCCTTTATCAAAATAATATGGCTCCAGTCACTTTGACTATGGCGAGTATTAGCGAGAAGTTCATAAGATCAGCATCCAATGGAGGTGTTGCTTATTTCAATCAAGATAAAGGAATTACAATTGAATCTTTTAAAAATGATGAATTTATTTCCAACAGCTTTGAAATAGTTGCTACAGCAAAAGATAGGCAAGGAACAGAATTCATTGCTCTTCTCGTTGGCAAAGAAGTCCCAGTAATTCTTTCATTTGTACTTCCTGAATCTATCTACAACTTCTACCCTGAGACAAATGTACCTCATTCAACTGAGGCCACAAAGTTCTCTATAGATTTCTCTAAAATCTTCACTGACCTCACAAAGAAAAACGACCAGACATACGGTAGTACCGAGACAGAGTATTCTAAGAATCTGTATAACCTAGAGTTGACCACTACAGTTGGGCCTGAATTCCAGACTTTCTATTTCTAAATCTAAAGGCTCAATTTAGCTCTTTCTAGAAGGGGTTTTGGGGTTTTGGGGTTTTGGGGTTTTGGGGTTTTGGGGTTTTGGGG